CAGAAGGATGGGCGAGGTCTTCCCTGGGGAAGAGACAGTAGGCCCTGATGGGTCCTGGTGAAGGAAATTCTTTAAATGTGACGTCCCTGGGGCTGGGTTGTAGCTCAGTGATTGAGCGCTTGCCTGGCATGCGTGAGGCACTGGATTCCATCCTCAGCACCACACAATAATAATAATAATAATAATAATAATAATAATAATAATAATAATAATATATTGTGTCCATCTATCACTAAAATATATTTTTTTTTAAAATGTGACTTCCCTGAAGGTCCAAGGGACCCACATTGGGGACTGTAGTTAAGTCCCCAGCAGGCAGGGTCCACACAGGTGCCTCTGACCCTCAGCACCAGCGGCCACTCCAGCCCTGCAGCTCCCGGGAGCCCCAGGCTCTGGTGCTGTGGGAGGCTCAGAGGTAAGACGAGGGTCCAGACAGTGAGCTCAGCACCCAGGGAGCAGCAGAAAGGCCAAACACACGCACATGGGGATTGGGGTTGAGGATCAGTGAGCCCCATTGACCCTGATGCCCAGCCAACAACTGACCCTCAACAGGCTCCCAATCAAAATCCCCTCCCCCCTTCTCCTTTCCGTCCTCCCCGAAAGCACCACCTCTCTGTGACTTCCTCATTTCTATAAATAACCCGCCATCCTCTCAGCCAACAGTCAGTCCTTTTTTTATTTCTCCCAATTCTCACCCACTTGTCCCCCACCCTGCCCACACAGCGTCCCTATACAAAGTGACCTTGGGTAGACACGGCCCCTTCACCCTCCTCTCCACCCCCACTCCCTGCAGTGGCCTTCCACCTTGGCCCCACACCACCCTCTTCCCTTTAATTTCTCTTTTGGACCAGGACAGTCCTGACCCTGTGACTCCACTCATCAAAGTTTTCATGGGACCCCACGGTTATTGAAGAAAATACAACCTCCCACAGTGACATTCAGACTCCACAAAGTGGCCCCCACTTTCCTCTGTGGCCTGATCTCCAAACACTGGTCCATATTCTGTGCCCTGCTCAGATCTCCAAACAGCCCTGTGCTTTTGTGTCTGCTGTGTTCTCCATTTGGAAGAAATGTCATCTTTCAAATGTTAGAATCCTGCTCATTCTTTGTGGTCTTCCCTGGCAGCCACTGCTGACCCCAACAGCATCCCCAACACTAGTGCCTCTCCTTCCTTGCATTCCCATAATGCCTAGCTAGCAGTATGGCTCAGTAGAGAGTCCCCAGCCTCTGTTGTACCCTGGTCACAGTTTAAACAGTGGCATTGTCCTTTACTAGCTGTGTGATGGCAAGTTAAGTGCCTCAGCCTCTCTGGGCCATAGGCTCATGCCTTTCAGGGTTGCTGAGAGTACTAATCGTGACAACCTGTAGCACAGTGCCCAGCACATTTTTTTTTTTTTTGAGAGAGAGAGAGAGAGAATTTTTTTTATATTTATTTTTTAGTTTTCGGCGGACACATCTTTATTTGTATGTGGTGCTGAGGATCGAACCCAGGCTGCACACACGCCAGGCGAACGGGCCACCGTCTGAGCCACATCCCCACCCCAGCACCTTTTAAGTGCTCAATAAATAGCAGTTTACTAAAGTCACCTCTGAGCTGGGCACTGTGGCACACACCTATAATCCCAGCTGAGGCTGAGGCAGAAGGATCATGAGTTCAAGACCAGCTTCAGCAAGGACGAGGTGCTAAGCAATTCAGTGAGACCCTGTCTCTAAATAAAATTCAAAAAAGGGCTGGGGATGTGGCTCAGTGGTTGAGTGTCCCTGAGTTCAATCCCTGGTACCAAAAAAGAAAAAAAATAAATAAAGTCACCTCTGTCCCTTCTTCAAGTGGCTCAGCTGAGCCAGCTGTCAGCGCATCTGTAGACACACTTGAATGGACATCTCCTGTCAAGCCCTGCTGCCTCCAGTGACCTTGGGGACTTTCTGAACCACAGCCTGAGGACCTTCAAGGTGAACGTGCCTCTGTGGCTGGAAACACTCCCCGGCCTCCTCGTTGATCCCATCCCCGACCGAGGCACACCCCTCCGAAGCTGACTTGCACATCCATTTGGGGGCAGGATGCATTGCCGCCTCCCACCCCCACCCAAGCTGCAAAGTGCTTCCCAGAGCTGTCAACCCTAGCTCTTCAAGTGACTTTAATGGTGGAAGGAAAAAACACCCTGGCACTTGGTTGATGCTGAATGGACCTGATGCACTGGTGCAATCACACCGGCTCTGCTGCAGCCCGAGGTGCCCTCCCAGACCCTCAGGCACGGATTTAGTGAGGATGTCCTTCTTCAAGGACAGTAACGGTGACGAGGCCTGCTTTCACATGGGACCAGAAGACAGATGCTGACAAAGCCTTATGCCAAGGACAGGGGATATTCGGGGACAGCAAGAGGCTCACTGTACCTCAGGGCAGGGGACAGCCCTGAGTGCTGGGGCCCTGCCTGGAAAAGCCCAGGAGGGAGGCGAGCTCAGCTCGGGGTAGCGTCCTCTGATCCTTGAAGGAAGGGATGCTTCCGACCCAAGGTCACTTTGTATAGTCTCCCAGGAGAAAAGAGCCCATCCGTGGGGTCCTTTGTGACCTCAGCGAATGCAGAATGGGATCCTGAGCCTGATGGCACCAGAGAGATGCAAAGCAGCACAACCTTGTGGTTGTTATGTCTGTGTCCTGCCACTCGGGCTGGGCCTTGCTGCGGTAAAATCCCAAGGGTGAAATTCCTCAAGGCTCCTCTCGGAGCCCTGTGAATGCACATCTTTACACCCCAAGTGAAGCACATTGAAGGGCTCGTGTGTCCCTGGGACCTGTTCTCCTCAGTCCCAGGGACCAACTCCATATTCCTAACGGTCTGCAGCTAGAGGCTGGGCAGGGCGGTGGGACCCAGGTTGCTGGGATGCCACCTGCAACCAGGCCGCCCTCCTTCACCTACGCCTGGACAGGACAGGAAGGACCCGGCCCACATGCTCTCACTTCCCCTTTCCTGGAACGGAGGGGGCCCGACGTGCCCGACGTGGAGCCTGCTCTTCTGAGGACTTGTTCCCTCTCACACTCACTTTCTCCCCCCACAGAGCTCTCTCTTCTGGTTTCTCCCTCCTGCCCTGTCGTCCCCTTCCTCCCAGCTCTCCCAGGCAAGCCTCTGGCTTTCTGCCCGCCCCGTCTGTCCAGGCTCCCTCTGTCCTTCCTCCTGTCTGGAGGCCGTCCTCCTTTTCCGGCTCTGCTCCTCTCACACTCCTCCTTCCTCAATTCAGAAGAACGCCAGCCGAGACCCTGTCCTCCCCCTTTGCCGCCCAGCCTCTCCCTCCAGGCACACAAAAAGGGACAGAGGCACCAGATGGCCCGATGCTAACAGAGGGGCTCAGGGAGGCTGCCGCCCACAGCGGCCCCCGCCGGGCCTTGGAGCCATCCAAGCTGCTGCCGGCCCAGCCGCCCAGCTGGCAGAGGAGCAGGGCACAGGGCCAGCCTCCGCAGCACGAGGCCAGCTCCCCTGCCCAGCCAGCCCAGGCCAACCAGGGAGGGGCAGGGCTGCCAGCTGAAGAGCAGAGGGTGTCACCAAGCGTCTGGGCCTTGCACACCAGGGGCAAATGCCCAATGGCTGTGGGGACCCGGGCTTTCCAGGAGGGTGGAGAGGAGTGACCGGCACTCTGCTTTTTCAGTGGAACAGGCTGTGACAAGGAGAGGCCTCAGCAAGGGGTGCATGAGCCACAGAGGAGCGGCTATCCCACAGCTCGCCCCACACAAAGATGACTGAATGACACCATGTAGGATGCAAATGGCTCCCCTTTGTGCCAGTGCACAGCAGAACCAGGTGCTGCGCTGAGTCACTTACTGCAATATTCCTAACCCTTCAACAGTCCTGCAGGGTAAGCATTTTGATCTCCATTTTACAGACAAAGAAACCGAGGTTCAGAGAGGTTAAATGACTTGCCCCGAGCATCATAGCTGGCGAGCCAGCGAGCACAGGTTTCTCATCCAGTAAGATTCCATAAATCCTGCTAAGGTAATGGGCTCCTACAGACACCCACTAAGGCCTGCAGGAAAGTCGCTCAGGGCAGGGAAGACACCTCCGACCCTGGTGGCCCATCACCTGCCCGGGGGCCCTTTTAAGCTTCGCTCTTCTAGGCCCCTCCTCTGGAGGTTCTGAGGTACACGCGCCTTTCTGGAATCACTTATGTAGGAGCAGGAACCTGAGGCATCCCTCAGAGCCTCTGGTTCCTAGAATAAAAAAAAAAAAAATGGAGGTGAGGTTTTCTTCACCAGCGTGCTGTGAACATGTCAGGGCTTGGCCTATGGCCGGACACACCCAGGTGCCCTACTGACGTTAGGTCCCCTCACTTCCCCGTGGGCCTGAGGTACCAGAGTCCACACTTCAGAGAGCGAAAGGGAACATTGCTCTTGTTCCACTGACCTTTGACTCATGCCTTAATAAAATTCCAGGCGTTCCCGTCCCCCCATCACCACCTCCCACAGAGCCCCAGCACAGACCCACAACAAGCCAGCGTGCGGCCAGAGGAACACAGGAACAAGGAACAGAGAGCGGGGATTTCCAGGAGCCGGACTCTGCGCTCCAGACTTTCATAGAAAGGACTCGAAACCGGCCTGCTTCACCACCAAAGGTCAACAGCCAGACTTGCCGAGGGTTTCTGGAAACCTCTCCGTCTTCAAGCTGTTCCCAGCCTCCCTCCTCTCACCACCGAAGCACAGATGCCCAAAGGCACCGAGACCAGCCCCTAGGACAGTGACGGGCTTGACCCAGGGGGTGACCCTCCCGCCCTGCTCAGCCACCTTCAGCCCTCAGGCCACCCTCTACCACCAGCCTAGGCATCACCCAGCACCCCAAAACCCTCTTCCCTGCTTTGAAAGGCAACACATGGCCTCCAACTCCACACCCCCAGGCTGACACTGAGTTGGTGTGAGTCACCTTGAGGGTGGCCCCACTCCCAGAAGTTGGGGGGACTCTTTTTCATCCATCTAGTAGAGAAGAGCTGCAATGCTGAGCCACCCCCGTCCCCCAACCTACCTTCCTTCTCACAGGTGACATGGGCTGGGCACTGCACTTTCTTCATCTCCCCCTCCTGAGAAATTGGGAGGCAGGTGCCTTTTACCTTCACTGTGCAGATGAGGGACTGAAATGTGAGGTCATTCACAGCTGCCAGGTGGTGAGCTCCGGACTCGATCCCAGGACTTCTGGGTCCCGGACTAGAGCATTCTCTACTCCACCATGGCTGCCTCTAAGATCGTCTTGAATCTATTTCCCTCCGTCTGTGTGGTCCCCATCAGAGGTGCACCATCCAAGCCCCCACCGCCACTCACCTGGGCACTCATGTGCCTCCTGATTGGTCTCCTGGTTCCCCTTCTTGGTCCCATCCCCCATTTTTACAATAGCCAGCGATGACCTTTTCATGAGTGACCACGTCACACCCTACTGCATGGAAAAGAAAACCCAACTCCTTACTGTGTGTGGAATATCAGACTTGGCCAGATCTGGTCCCTGTCCCTCTCCCTCCTCATCTGGCACTTTGCATCCTCTCAGCCACCACACTATGGCCACACTGGCCTCCTTTTTCCTTCCTCTTTCCTACCCCGGGATCTTTGCACTTGATGTTTCTTCTCTTCTCTTGTCACTTTGTATAATGCCCTATTTTATTTCTTCATAGCACTTCTATCTGAAAGCATACTCTTTATTGACTTCTTGGGTGACCCTTCTTTGTTCCTTTTGCTTGCCTTTGCTGGGTAGCGTAAGCTTCACAAGATACTTTGGTCATGTTCCCCCTGTGGTCCTCTTGCCTAGAACAACATCTGCCCATAGCAGGAGTCAGTAATGACCCACTGGGTGAATAAAGGACACTGAGGAGACTTCAGAGAAGATGAGTGAAAGCATCAGAGGGGCGGGAGCTGGGCGACCTCACCTGCAGTGTGGAAATGGCCCTGCTGAGCTCCTGGGCAGCGGCCGGAGAGTGCGGCTCGGGCCTGGAACCGCGGAAGACAGCCCAGGCTCTGCCAAGGAGAAGGGACGCTCTGGAAATGGGAAGGGTCAAGGAAGAGGATGGAGATGTTGGGTTTGTGGTGGTGGTTGTTATTGTTTTAGGACGACTCATGGGGAATTCTGCAGAGGCCCAACGTGAACAAACACCAAAACTTCTAGAAAATAGAGGAACCAGAAAAATGGAGGGGACTAAATGTTGTGAGCTAAAGTGAAAGAGGTTCCCGAAACTTGATCTCCTGCGTGTGGGCTCCTGTGACCCTTGGGGAGACCTCTTCCAGAAGAAAACAAGAGGGGGGGGGAAGGAGGAGCGGGAAGACTGTAGCTCCCTGGACTGTCAAGTGTAAGTAGCCCCTGACACAAGACCTCCACCTTCTGAGACGGTGAGGCTCACATGCGGATGTTCCCAGAATGCACCCTGAGCTCAGAGACAGGAGTGTAGACAGGGTGAGAGGGCAGAGATTGGAAGGCAATCCAGCCCCCTGGAAAACACAACCGGGTCCCTCCCTGCAGCCCCAGGCCCTCCCTGTTTGGAAACCTCGGCCTGGCTGGCTTCTCCTGCTACACAGCCTGTGTCCCTGAGGATACTCGATACCTCAGGATAAATGGGGCCCGTCTCTCTGAAGCATCAATTTGACTTGATTATTTGGCGGGAAGCATTGTTTTTATTAAACAGGAATTTTTTTTTTTGCAAGAGATGCAAAATGTACATAAATTTTTAACACAAAATGTGAGTCTTTCATGAATTTCACACTTATAGGAGTTGCTATAAACAGCCCAAAGGATATTTACTCTCCCTGTTGTTCAGAGCGATCACTAGGAAGAGGAGTGTCGTGGTTGGGTGTGTGGGCTAGGAGACGGTTGGACCAGTTACTCAACCACTCTGTGCATCGGTTTCCCCATCCGTGAATTTGGGCTGATAGTAATAGTACCTCAGTTCACGTGCGTAAAGTGCTTAGAACACTGCCTGGCCCTAGGGAAGTGTCAGCTATTTTTTGCTCTGGGAAAGTTGAGAAGTTCCATGACAGATTGCAGAGCCTGTCATTCCCCACACCATGTCACCATGTGCTGCCCTCTCTCCACAAAAGCATTGGTACCACTGGGAGATGGGGACAGCAATCTGGCTCCTAGGCATGACTGATGAGCTTCAGGCACCACCCTCACCCTGCCCCCTCCAGAGAGGAGGATGAAGGGACTTGGGGCTCCACCCTCAGCCCTCTGCAGAAGGCAGATCCTTTACCTGGAATACACATCCTGGCTACTCTCCATCACCACCTCCCCTTTCCTACAACCCCCACCCATTCCCAGACCTGGGGCTGGGACTAAGGTGAAGCAAAGTAGATGCCTAGATTCCAAGGGTCAGGAGGCACTCCTCACTCCCAGGGTGGTGCAAGAGCCCAGCACTTGGTTCAGCTGTTACCACCTCCAGGAAGCCCTCCCTGAACCCCATCCACCCAAGTAATGCTGGCTATCCTGCCGCAGTCTGGCTGGGCACACAATCACGAGCCACCACACAGCTTGTAGATTCAAACAGCAACTCTTTATTCCCGAACTCACACCAGCCGTCTACAATCACGTTCTGGGGAAATCCACGTTCACTTCCCAAATCCACGTTCTCTGCCCAAATCCACGTTCTCTGCCCAAATCCACCTCCACTGGGCTTCTGTCTCCCAAAATATACTGTCTGAATCCCGTGAGAACTCAAGGGGAACTCAGGCAGCAGGATACGCCCTATTCCCAGCAGGAATAATCTTAAACCTTAAACCTGGAACCTAAACCGGGAACGCCCTAAACACGATTATCTTAAAACCGGGAACACCCTAATCTGCCTTGGTCCTTGAGCAAGGTCACGTACATTCAATGTCACTGCAACATGGGGTACGCTGGCAAGGAAATTGTCATACCTACTTGGCTAATGGCTCCCAGCACTATCCCTTACTGCTCTCACCGCCAATCAAACACCACTATAACTGTTGACCCATCTGGCTGCCCCGCTGTACTTGAGCTCCCTCCTCTGCAGAGCCTCAGCCCTGCTGAGCACAGAGAAGGCACCAAAAAATGCTGAATAAATCATTCTCAAGGGGAACCACAAAACCTGGAAAAAATAATATGCTGAGGATGTAGCTCAGTGGTAGAGCACTTGCCTAGCATGTGAGGGGCCCTGGGTTCAGCCTCCAGGACTGGGGGGCGGGGAGAGGCACTAATTACCCAGGTGGGACCATAAGAGGCCCAAGGGTTTCGGAAGGGAGATGAAGAGAAGGGCAGGCAAGCACAGTGGCATACACCTGTAACTGCAGCTCTTCAGGAGGCTGAGGCAGGAGGATCCCAAGTTCAAGTCAAACCTGGCAACTTAGATCCTGTCTCAAAATAAAATAGAAAAGGGCTGGAGGCGAGGATATAGTTCAGTGCAAGGGCTCTAGCACATCAATATCCAGTACTACAAAAATATAAAAATAAAAGGAAGATGAGAAGGGTGGAGGGGGCACTTGGAGTGTCTCATGGTGGAAATGTCCAGGTCCTTAGGGACGTATACTCAAGAAAGTGGGAAAACACTCCCTTCTCCTTCCGGGAAAGCATGGTATTCTGGAACGTGCCCAATCATTCTTTCATTCATGCAATAACCCTGTGCTGAGCCCAGCTGGGGCCCGGTGCTCTGCTGGAGCAGAGACCAGTGAGTGCACAGGCCTTCCTCCAGGGGTCCTGGGAGGTCCCACACCCCAGCTCAGTTCCTCTTTTCTCCATGCTAATGGTGGCCATCTGGGAATGGGCCAGACATGTCTGATCCTGGTAGGAGTTGCAGTGACCTCAGCCTTCAGGCTGCCTTGTGGCAATGCTACTGTGGGACTTGTGCTTCAGGACAGAGGGAATGAGGAGAGCCACACTAAGAGGGTGTCGAGTTGTGGGCCCTGACCATTGCTGATCCTCTTGTCCTGGGACCCCTATCCCTTGTCCCTTTCCTTGTGGCAGTTCCAATAGCCCAAAGAAAAATCTCCGAACTACACAACCTGCCCCTAACTAGGAAAGGCAGCAGGCAGCAATGGAGGATGCAGAGCCTTTGCCTGGATCTGAGTCCCGGATGTGACACCTCACTGCTGAGTAGTTGTGGTTGGGAAACCCATTAGAGACCCTTCCTATCTGAGCTATCTCAGTCCCAGCACTGCTGACTAAATGACATCACACCAGCAAAGGTCCCAGCACAGACCACAGTGGGCTTTGACAAAAGCTGACTCCATTCCTTTGAATAAGGCACTACGTCACATATACATATGGCTTCACAAAATTTCTTTTTGTAATTGGGATGTGGCTGTATCTCCTCCAGGTAAAAATAACAAATACTGTTGTCAAGCATCAGATAATTCCATTTCTGGTCAGCAGAGGCCCAAGCTCTGTTCTGGGAATAGGCAGCATTTTGTCAGGGCAATATTTCCACCGGGGTATCTAGAAATGCTAACAAAAACCAGGGAGCCTTGGGCTGGGTGAGAAGACATAGATAGGAGTTGGGAGGCAAGTGGAGGTGAGTGACGACAAGGGCAACCCAGAAAGAATGAACAGCTTGAGCAAAAATGGCACACTTGGGAACTGAAGGCAGGTGGTGTGCAGGGGGACAGGAGAGGGTGTGAAGATGTGAAGGGAGCAATCAAGATCCACCTGGAAAGGGAGTTTTCTTGAAAATAATGGGCTTGCATTTATCTTGAAGGTACAGAGAGGCACTTCCAGTTTCAGGTTGGATGAGAGAGGGTGAGAAGGCTCCAGGCAGGGAGACCAGTCTAGAGGCCACTGGATGACAGACGGATAAATGATCACCGCCTGGATCAGGCCAATGACCCAGCAATGGAAAAGAGGACGCGGAGTCAAGAGAAGTTTGGATACTAAGAAAAACAAGTGCAGAAAGTGGGAAGGAGAGAAAGGGAGACGCCCAGGAACACCTCCACGTCCCAGGCCGCAGGAGCAGTGGCTGAGATAGGGAAGCCAGGAGGGAAGAATAGATAGTGAACATGGTTTTAGATAAAATGAGAGTGAGATACTAGAACTTGCAAGCAAGACTGAGCTCAGCCCAAATCTGAAGGGTACTGAGCACGAAGTCTTAATCCTCTCAAGTTCCGTTCTGTGGCGTGGAGTGAAGCTGATACCTACTTCACGGAATTCTTGAGAGAAGGTAGACTGAATAAGACGGCCACCAAGAAGCACCAAGCCGCCTAGCTGGCACATGGTGGGAACCCCATGAATATTTGTTGAACCTGACGGTGACCGTGATGGATGACCAGGAGTGGTGGTTGGCTTCTTCTTTCCTCCGCTGTCTCCTGTCTCTTCTAGGTGAAGAGGATGTGGTCAGGATGGCTAGGCAGCAGCTGCTGCACAGGGAGCCCTTCACGTCCACCTCCTCAGCTTCC